CCTATTCTTCCAGTCTTTGCCCCTTACCCAATCTGAAAGCCAGCTCTACATTTTTAGATATTTCTTACATACAGCAGCATCCCACCTCCAGGTACCAAAACTGGCATACCAATTGTTGAATGGCTACCATCTTCCAGGCACTTTGTAAACACCTGAATTAATTGTCTTAACAGCTGTCCACAGGAAATATTATTATAATTATTTTACAAAAGTGCAAGACCATTTTGTATGATTGAAAAATTTAGGCCTTGGAGGTCGGCAAATGTAGTTTCAAATTCTGGTTTCATCACTCTTTTGCTGAGTATTTTTGGGAAAATCACTTAATCTGTTAAAACTATCTTTGCTTCAATTTCCTCAAAAGTAAAATAGTGCATGTAAAATCTACCATGCAAACAGATTTCCTTCTTTCCTTCCTTCTTTCCTTCCTTCCTTCCGTCCTTCCTTCCCTCCCTCCCTCTCTTTCTTTCTTTCTTCTTTTTTCCTTTTTTTTTTTTTTGGTGAGGCTTACATCAGGTATGTAATATGCTTGTTTAATGGGTACGTAGTAGGAGTTATTTGTCTCAACATTTTTGTGTAATGCTGCTGCCTAGAGTATTAACTCATTTAGAAAAGAGTATGACCAGAGGAGAAGAGGTATATGTTGTAAAAATGACTGGTAAAGCAGAATAAAATAGACACATTTAGAGAAACAAGCTGTTATAGATGATGAAGTTTTCTGAAAGGCCTGTGGTGGTTGAAATACTTTTTTTTTTTTTTAAAGATTTTATTTATTTATTTGACAGAGAGAGACACAGCAAGAGAGGGAATACAAGCAGGGGGAGTGGGAGAGGGAGAAGCAGGCTTCCCACTGAGCAGGGAGCCCGATGCGGGGCTAGATCCCAGGACCTGGAATCATGACCTGAGCCGAAGGCAGAAGCTTAACGACTGAGCCACTCAGGCACCCCAAAATACTTTTATCTTCCATACATTTCCGTTGCTTTTCTTGAGGATACTTAATAGTTAAGGTATCAGACCTCATGGGGAGCCTGGGTGGCTCAGTTGGTTAAGCGTCCAATTCTTGGTGTCAGCTCAGGTCATGATTTCAGCTCAGGTCATGATCTCAGTGAGCCTTGTGTCAGCTCCATGCTGAGCCCGGAGTCTGTGTGAAGATTTCTCTCCCTTTCTCTCTACCCCTCCCCATCCCTCTCCAAAATAAATAAATAGATCTTTTTCAAAAAAAGACATCAGACCTCATGAATTGATTAGAGAAAAGATGAATTCAGGAAAGTTTTTATCTGATGAAACCTCAGACATAGAGGACTCTGTATGTCGATGAAAATGTATTAATGCATAAGTGTTAATATCAGCTTGAACAAAAAGAAAGTGTTATGATAATCTTTGGTTAAAATCTATCTTCTAATTATATTACTTAAGGAAAAAATACAATTGTTGCTTTGTCAATCTTGGGGATTTAAATTGTTTAATAAAAAGATGGTGCATTAAGTAAACAGAAAAAACGAATGAAGCTGCCCCTGGGACTATATTTATTACTTGCTTTCTCTGCGAAGGAAGAATTGTTTAAAACAGTCCATTTTAACATAAACCAACTCAGGAGTCATCTCAGAACCACCCTTGGAACCTGTCTGAAAATAGAAGTTTTATCACTTGTCTTTTTAAAAAGGCACCCAGCTAGGAAGAACACTTGTAGTCTACAGTTTGGAGTCTTTATAACATAATTTCCTGGCTGTTTTTTTTTTCTCAAACAGATTTTTAGGCTGGCAGCAAGTGAGGCATTAATTTATGTATTTATGTTTAAATATATACTGTGTTAGAGACCTCAAAGAATTATTATTTTGGTAAATCTAAGATAAGAATTACTAATGCTCTTTTTTTCTTTAAAGACTTGATTTTTTT